CGATTTCTCTGTTACCTACTCAATTTCAATTGATATCGAGCTTCGGCTTTTCGCCGCACAACGTGAGGGCGTAAAGTCAACTCCGGGAAACTTTCTGACTTCAGTCCAGCCTTAATGACGCCAAGTGTACATAAATATTTGTCGTTTTCGATACCGAAAAACTCGGTTGGCATAATACCGACACGGCATAATGACAGCGCGGAATGTACGATCGATCGTCGCGCATAACATCCACGCAGGTTCAGAATTAGAAGCGGCACCTTAAATTTTCCGGAATGTTAGATTTTTTCGCCTTTTCTGATTTTAACCAAGCTTTACCTCCACTGTCTGTGCGCAAGCCCTGCCGGAACTCTCCGCAAATTGTTTAAATTGCTGCTAAATATTTTTAAATTCCTCTGAAAAAACTACATTTATATGACTGTACTGAAAAAGGGTTTATAGCCCTGTTCGAATGTCTTCTTCCTCAGCGTTCATTAATTAAAAGAATTATAAAAAAAAAACTTAAATTCTTATAAAGAATCAATTTTAGCTTATTAAAATTATAATTACATTCAATTCCACTAAAAAAAAAAGAAAAAAAATTGGCCGACATCGGGATTGAACGCTGCTCGGTCAAATAGAAGTCTGGTGCTTTAACCACAAGGCCAGCATATTTCCAATCAAAGTTTCATGTTTATCCATCTTAAACTACATGCTTCGATCCGTAGACTTGGAATTGAGCTCGCTTTTTGAAATTTATACCTAATAGAAATAATAATAATGGATGAATATATGTATTTTAAGTTATTTTTAGCTATTACATTGATTAATGTTCAATGAGTATCATCATATTCATTTATATAATACTCCAATTGTCATCGAAGTGTAGGGCATGTAGTGTGACACACTACATTTACATCACAACATGTATGTACACACACAGATACAAATTACTCGCCAAAATGCAGGGCACCATCAGTTCTGGATACGGATTGAGCATTTTTTCAATATGGATGACTGAGGTCATCTGCGAGCATAATGCTGTCACCTATCGGAATTTTTTCAAACTAATTTTCCGGAGAATATCATCTGGAATACAATAGTCGACACAGTGTCAAACACAGAGAGGTTTTCTTTAAATGGAAAACGCCCAACTTTGTTATATTACAGTAATATTATAGTTACATCATATTTTTATCAACATTGATATCGTTTAAATTAAAGAAAAATGGTCCGCAATGTATTTTCATTGGATCTCATTGCGTTTGTCTACTATTCTATTTTTTTTTAAGTGTAATTTGATTTCTTTAGTGCAATGAATTTTTCCTATTTGGGGGATTCAAACCTACGACCGCCTGCTCGCACGCAACTTAAACCTACGTTTTTACTCACTAGGCTATTCTGATACTTAATTTCCAAATTGAAAATAAGCCCATATAAACATACATTTTGGTTACATGTATACATATATAGAAAAATAAGAACAATTGTGTGAATTATAGTTCATTTTAGTTATTATGTAATAATTATTATATATAATGTCTTCTTTTTATTTTTAATTGAGATTTATTCATTTTTGAGATTACAAAACATTTTGTAAATATCTTAGGTTAAACAAATTGATAAAAAAATCCTCATTTTCTGAGTATTAAATACCCATAGCCAATAATAAAGTGAACGAGAAATTCTCTGACAATTTAGGTCCACAAATAGTTCTTGAACTGTAAAATATCCTTATAGGTTAAAAACAATCACCCTGATCTGCTATCAATCTCAGTTTATCTACAAATTGAAAAAAAAGCAACTATAACCAGAATTTTGTAATGTTACATCTCTACAATATGCCGTCGATACAAAGAACGTATGTAACATCGATATGGCGATGTTACATTACAAGAACATTGCGATTGAGACCTGCAAACACGATAGTAGAAATTTATAATTTATTATTTTATTGAGAAATTTGCGTTGATTATCATTATTTGTGGCAGACCTTTCGATCGTTCTCATAATAAAAAGAATTCTTTTTCATACTAAAACATCATATTTGTCATGTAATCACAAATTTCATAGTTTTTTGAGTTTAGCCCAAGCTTAAAAAATTCTAGATTAGAAACTCAATGTAAAAAAAAATGATACTCGCGGTCAGTAATTGCTCTCCAAGGATGTGTACACTCGGCGTCATTAATGCCTGGTCCATCAAAAACTTTGATACCATCCGAGCAATTATTAATATTATTATTATTATTATTATTATTATTATTATTATTATTATTATTATTATTTAAATTAAGGTTCAAAAATGTTTTAGGAGGGGGGGGTAGTCTATTGTTGTAGGGACTATCTAAGAGTATTTAATCATGAACTTTCTAAATTAATTTAGATGTTGAATCTCTATTTGAAAAAAAAACTACTTCATCGATAATTTCTCGGATGGTATCAAAGTTTTTGATGGACCAGGCATTAATGACGCCGAGTGTACACAATAGCAGCCTGCTATTAGTGAAACTTACCCTAATGCGTTTAGGGGGAGCGTGACATCCGTCCCCAATAAGATGTCAGTCAAAGGCATTTTTACAATCTTTTAAATTTGAATCTTTAAATGTATAATCTTACTGATTGTTAATCAAATTCTATGATGCCCAGATTTTTTATCTAATGATCATTTTAAAAATAAGCTTTATTCTTTTAATCTTTTAAAATTGGTTTTTTTTATTTTCAATCATTTAATATTCAATCAAATTATAAAAATTTTTCTTTTTTTAATGTTTATCATTTCGTTGAACAGTCAACTTAAGAAATTAGGACTGGTAAGTTATCTTGCGTCGGTATAGTAGAAAAAAAAATTCAACTAGTGTCACTGTTTTCTAATAGATGACAGTAATTACACTGTTTTCAATCAAAAATTCAAAATACTTATATGATTTTAAATTTTGAATTGTTTAATAGCAACTTTACTTACCAAAAATAAATATTAGATTGATCTTCTTGAAATGGAGCATAATTTTCTTCAAAACCAATTACTTATATCGATATTTTTCATCGTTAGAGATATACCACATCAAGTTATATTGAGTTAATTTCTTTACAATATTAATTACACAATTCAAAATAATAAAAAAATACTTTACTTTTAAATTGAATTTTTCTTCAATATATTTCCTTTTTTTGTTTCATCAATCATTTAAGTTACTGAATTACTTGCTATTTCTTCAGTTAGTTTGTGTTTTAATTGACTATCAGTAAGACAGTCTTCTAGTATTATCGTAATTATAAATAAAATAAAATATATTTTTGTATCATTAATTTACGCTTAGTTTAACTTTTCTAATAAAGTTAGTTTCTTCCATTGTGTAATGAAATTTTTTAAACAGGTTTTTTTTCAATATAATTTTTATTTCAAACTCTTTTTTCATTAATGACATATTTTTTAAAAATCAAAATAAATTTTCACACAAATAAATTATATATTGAAAAGAAATAAAATTAAGATCCTATTAAATTTTTATTATTACTCAATTAAGTTCACACGACAATTAGTTTTAACACAAAAAAGTAATTTTTTGGGTAAATATTAAAACACATTTAATATATATATTTATACATATTCATAATTCTGTATTGAATTAAATTTCATTTTTCAGATCGATTAATAAACATAATTTGTGACAGTGACATTGAATATTGTAGAATAATGAATGAAACTACACGACAGAATCATTCTCGAGCAATTCAACATACAATTGACTTGTACATTAATAATTTACAAGAGTCCTTGAGAAATGGAAGGTACTTATATAATTTGTTAATTTATTCAATCATTTTATATTAAATTTAAATAATTTGTTATAATATCAATTTATATATAGGATGACATTGTCAGAATATTTGTAGGCAGTAGTTGAACGCACAAATATTCGACGGGAGCTGAGACAACGTGGCTCATAATTTGGAAGTGTAGAAAACCAAAGTTAAAGAGATACCAGCAAATGTAAATTTTCTTAAATATAAATAAAAGTTATACTTATAACTTCAGGAATGATTTTTGAATTCTTTAATTGACCCTGATTATTTTATTTTAAAATAATTGAATTGAGTAGTGATTTATATTAAAATTTATTAATAAATTTATATTCATATTATATTTATATTTAAATTCAGTTAAATTAAGGTATTCATTAAAAATACTGATTTATTTTTATAAAAACTTAAGTAATAAAACTTTTTTTTTTCGTTGCACGAAAATCGTTTATGTTTATTAAAGAAGAGAATAATACTGACAGACATTATTTTTGAAGTTTTTCAACTTTTTAATAATTCAGTTTTCAAATTTTTTTCACTTGGATTACGTTATTACGCTAACATTAAGATAAAAATGTTATTATCATTAGATTATAAGCCTAAATATACTTATTTATGTAGTGGGAATTACATGACATTACATGAGCCAGAAAGAAGACTTTTTTTTGTATAAGCATTTTGAATTGTTGATTGAAAACAGTGTAATTACTGTCATCTATCAGAAAACAGTGACACTAGTTGAATTTTTTTTTCTACTATACCGACGCAAGATAACTTACCAGTCCTAATTTCTTAAGTTGACTGTTCAACGAAATGATAAACATTAAAAAAAGAAAAATTTTTATAATTTGATTGAATATTAAATGATTGAAAATAAAAAAAACCAATTTTAAAAGATTAAAAGAATAAAGCTTATTTTTAAAATGATCATTAGATAAAAAATCTGGGCATCATAGAATTTGATTAACAATCAGTAAGATTATACATTTAAAGATTCAAATTTAAAAGATTGTAAAAATGCCTTTGACTGACATCTTATTGGGGACGGATGTCACGCTCCCCGTTTAGGTGTGCATGCATATAGCCCTGCCGTATGTGAACTAAAAGCTTGAAAATTATCATTGTTTTCATGATTCTCATGTTATCTTCTGAATTTTAATCGTCATGAAGGTTTTATCTTTCACCGCAGAGCGGCGCGAAATTAACATTGGAACTTTTCTTGGCTACAACCAACCTTAATTAAATGTTTCTTGTTAAATTCAGTTTTGCTATGAGCAACTGTTTAGTTCACATAATTGGTTTTTTTATATTAAAATAAACCTTAATTATACGCTAACTCAAGTAAACGTTAAAGTCAATTTAATAATATTTATAAATGATGTTAACATCAGATGCAAAGCCTGATCCACCACGGACAAGAATAAATGATACTCATTCTATATTGAAGACATATTTGGACGTTAAATACATTCCAAAAAATACACAAGAAATGAACTCTCACATCAGTTTCATTAATGATGCATCATTTACGGAAACACAAAAAAATTCTATACCACGAAGAAAAATTCCTTCCTTGAAAATTGGAAATTCTGCATCAACTGCAAGTGAAGACAGTATTCAAATCATAAATCAATCTAAAGATTCCAGTAAGACAAATATTTCATAACTTTCATATTTTTTCCATTTTTCTGTATTAAATTATATTTCAGAGTACCATAGCAATTCAATGAATTTCAATATAGTAAATTGTAACGGAGTGAAAATTGGCACTACAAAAAAATATATTTGTTATTTCAATCAATTCAATAAAAACTTTAGGAATATCAATGATAAAAGTGGAGTACTGAGAACCAATGATCCCAGACAAATGCCTAATATAATAAAAAAATGGAGTACTTCAAAACATAAACTAACAATAGAAGATATGTATGTTATTAAAACTCATATTGGCTATAGTTGGCGAGAAATTTTTTCAGCATTAGGGTATTCGGAAGGTCAATTGGATCAATTTACAGAAAATTATAAATCAAGAGGCATAGGCGAAGTAAGTTAGTTGAAATTTATTTCTTGATAGCAATTTTATACTTACCAATGTCAGTATTCAGAGAAAAATAAAATGAAGTTTGTCAATCATTCAGGTAATTTATCAAATACTCCTTGATTGGAAATATGCGAACGGCAGAACAGCCGGACTTGGTACTATCATCAAAATGTTGTGGAGACACGAAGAATACGATTGTGTAGAGCGATTAGTTCACAATAAATTACAAGAAAAATAATTCTAAAAATGTTATTATGAATGTATAATTTTTAGAAAATTGTTGTGGGAATTCTTTAAGTCAAAAAAGTGAAATGTGTATCTTAACAATAAAAATATATGAAATCAAGATAATAATTTTCTCAGGTATTATCGAGAAATAAATATATGTAATGTAAAAAAACATACTGCAGACTATCTTTTCATTATCGTACACTGTCGTACTTTATTTATTAAGAGGCTATTGTAGACTTTAATTTTATTGGCTGAGCTTTTCTGGTATTTTGCAGTATATCAATAGAAACAATGTGCGGTTCAAGAATCAGAAATGTATACAATATTGTATTATTATATCAATATTAATTTACATCAATACAATCCAGTAAAAATAAAATGTAATGTAATATAAAAAAGAAGTAACTAGTTATGTAACTTTTTTGACTTATCGGTGACATAATATCGTTCACACACAATCAAAAATATCAGCCCTAAGACGTACAATTTGAGACGTGCGCGTGCGCACTAACATCATATTAAGTCAAAAATTGGTATATGCGCATGCGAACTGTACGCCTTACGGCTTATGTTTTTGATTGTGTGAACCCCCCTTCGTTATGTACCTAATTGTAACGTCTACGTTGCATAACAATTACATGACATTGTTACTGTAATAAAAGATCATGATTGAGACTACTATGTTATGTTTAGATGACGTTTTAATGTTTCTTTGATGAAACGTCACAATATTGACCTTTTTGTTATATACTACGCAACATAAATGGTGTCCGACTTTGTTGATTTTTCTTCTTTGTTATCCATGCAATTTCCTATACTCTTCTATATCCAATTGAGACACCATTTATGTCACGTAGTTACAGTGTAGGATAGAGTGGTCACTTTTTGTTAAATCTGAAAAAAAATACAATGATATGTTATAATAGACATCCAAGGTTTTGTTTGAAAAAATAATACTATTTATATTCTGTCAAAATAAAAAAGTACTCTCGGGAAGATAAAAGTTTACTCGTGTTTAATGCACTTGGCCCATTCTGCCATAGTATACAAAACTCTTACATTATATATAATGAACCAGATTTTACAAAAGAGTGCGAAATACAAACGTACCAAATCATATTACGAAATACAACAAAAATAAAGTTTCATCTTTACTTAAAACTAGGTCTAACCAAGTTGTACAAAACTACACCTCTTACGTATAAATGTCACTTAATTAATTACATATGTTTGTACATGTACACAGGCACTAGCTTTTTATCTCTGAGGTGATTGGAGTTCAGCAACCATTAACAACAAGTAAATTCTTTTGAAGTGTCTGTAACTTTCACGAACCTATAACTAGGAGCAAGAGCATCTGGCTGATATGTTTGGCAATTGCTGAATCACAGAGACTTGTAAACGCTTATATATTAATATTAATACTGTTTATGAACTTAGCTATAGCTACTACAATATTATAGTCTATGCTGTGCAACAAAACCTCAATGTAGTAAGGTGGAAAAATTTTATTTCTCATGAGGTCCTTTACAAAAAGCCCTCTAACATCTTCATATAAACTACGTTGCCAAAAAATATGATTGGGAGACTCAATTTCTTTTCTACATTCGCAAAGGCTAGAACTTACAACTTTTATCTTAATTAAACTGTCTTTAAGACACGCATGGTTACTGCGTAATCTGTTTATGGCTGCAATAGATTTCTTACGGAGAGCATAACAGCGAAACCATAGTATTGCACTCTCTGAGTAATAGTTTTCAAAGTAAAATTTACCTTTATCTTTACTCATTCTCATGCACCAATGGTGAGAATCTTTTCGCATCATATTCTTCTAGTAACCTTTCAAATCTGAATAGGGACAGCCCAACGGCGAGTTTATACTTCAGTAATACTTTTTTTAGCCGCTTGATCAACTCTTTCATTAAAAAGAATACCCACATGTGTAGGAACCAAATAGAACTTTACAGTCTTGCCTTGGTTCTCTAGCATCTTAACGTGATATTTAATACCGCCCACGATAAAACACTGATTACCTACACCGTTTTTAGAGATGAGAGCTTTTATGACGCTCAAACTGTCCTTGAAAATAGCAAAATTACTTTCATTCGGCCTAGCAACTGACTCAAGAGTATAGAATACAGCCATCGCTTTTGCAGTGAAAATGGACGCAAATTTAGTTGTTCTGCAAAACCCACAATGTCCCTATTATCCATCTTGGCAGTATCGGTGAAAAAGCAGACTGTCTGTTTATCTAACCTGCCCAAAAGAGCAAAACAGACCTCATTAGGATTCGTTGCTTTTTTAAGCCTACTCCCTACTTCTATATTAACTGTCACTCGGTTAGGCATGGATTCGAAGGGGTACATCAAACTGCCCGATCATTGATAATCTGCTATAAGATGCCGAATAGATTCTCACTCTATGAAGGTTCCCAATAAAAGAGGAATCTTATCTCTAAAAACTCTAGTTGGCATTTCCCTGATATTTTGTGCTTCTTCTAACACTGAAAACATGCGATGACTTGCACTTCAACAAACTCTTGACAGAAAATTTCTACAAAAGTATTCAAATCTGATACTAAACGGATAAACATTTGCTTCAGCTAAAATAATATTTGTGGGAGTCGATTTTCTATAACCAAGTGCCGCCCTTAGGCCATAAAACTGAATTCTTTCCAGGGATAATAATTGGGCTTTCGAAGCTGAGTAAAAGAGAAAGGCTGTGTACTCTATTCTAGATCTGACCAAGCTTTTATATAGGTTTATCAAAATTCCTGGATCTGCACCGATCCAAGTAACTCTAAGATGATTAATTATTGCCAAGCTTTTAACACACTTTTGTTTTATCGACTCTATCTGAAAATTCCATTTAAACGACAACTCTAAGTAAATACCTAGGAACTTGACAACATTAGAGATGTTAACTAACAACCCATCAATTTCTATAGTCCAGTCTCTAGTCCTTGCTCTAAGTGCTGAAGATGCACTAAACACGTACCACTGACACTTATTTGGAACAATATCCAATGTTACGTCCCCGTAACAGAACGGTCTCTTTTTTGAGTCAAGACACAATCGCCTTCTACTCCACTCGGGTGCGGAGACCTCGCAGAATTTATTTCAGATGGAAAATTGAAGAAATAGGGAAGGTAATCAGTGCTGACAAACCACTATGGTGCAACAAATGAAGAATAGAGTTATTCCTTTTTATTACAGAAAATCTTCATTACTCTCTACTCACTTTAGTTAGAATTGTTTTACAAGGGTAAAATTGGTAGGTAGCAGAGAGTTGAAGCGCTGTGCAACAGGTTGGCGTGTAGCAGGCTGTAGTGCTGCCTGAAGATACTCGGCTAGGCTCGCTGGTTGGTTGATTTACAGCCGCTTGGGCTCTCTCGCTGTGCCGCACCTCTCTCTCTCTCTTTTGCCCGGAGATTTCGACCTCGCTCGTTTACTTGCGTTTAGTAATGCTCAGAGATTTCTTTTCACAAAAATCTTTTCCGACGAGTTGTAAAATTCTTTTATTATTTTAAAGAAAAATTTTTCTTTGGTCGAGTTGAGTTTAAAATAAATCTACTTGAGTTGATAGAAGAATTGTTTTCTTCAAGAAAAAAATTGTTTCTCTTGAATCATTATAAATTGAAGGGAAATTTAGAGATACTGAGAATAAATTCTCTCAAAAATCAAATTTAAGTTTAAATGATGAAGTAGACTACAGTTCAAAAATTTGCACCGAGCCCGACAAAAATTCAGTAGAGACTGAAGCTCCTTGGGAAAATTTAGACTATTTATGTAGGTTTCCAAGCCCTCTGAAAAGCTGGAGGTGGTTGTTTTAATGTCCTTTTTGCCAATCCTGTCGATTTAAATATCCAAATTTTCTTTGGTCAGGCCATCCACGTGCGGGTTTCTTAAACTGCCTTTACGCACGCTTTCTCTTTCTTCCTTTTCTACCTTGCGTACTTGGGTTTTCCCTTGGTGCCTTCAGGTCTGACTTCACTATTCATTTTTTTCTACCTGACTATTCTCAGCATACTGTCTTCTTAAAATATTTATTTTTCTTAAAGAAAATGTTGAGTACGCTGTTATATAATATCCAAACCACTCTGCTAAAAAAAGGACTGAATTTTCTTACAAGAAACCGAAACTTTCTGTTTGCTGTCATTTGAATTGTCAGCAGTGCAGTAGATAACTACATCGTTTGCAAATTAGATAATGTTACATTTTCCAGTTATTGTATTCTCTAACTTCAACATGTACAAGGTATAGAGCATAGGACTCAGGACACTGTCTTGCGGTAGCCCTCTGCAACCGTTTTGATACAATCAACCGTATCAAACTTGAAGGCGAGGTTACGTTTCGAAACCAGATTATACACGACCTTAAGCAATTGTTTAGAAAATCCTAGTATTTTTAATCTCTCTATCAACGCCGACGCGAGAATATTATCATTATCTTTATGTCCAGAAATACTGCTGCAACATACTCATTTCTGTCGGAAACACTGAACACTTCCGAATACAATAAAAATGAATTATCGAAACAAGATTTATTTCTACGAAAACCGTAGTGCAACAAAGGAAACTTGAAATTATACTCTAGCCACCATGTTAATCTCAGGTTAATCATTTTCTCCATAACTTTTAGCAAGCAAGGAGCAAATGAAATAGGTCTTACTCTATTACTCTGGTTCTTTAGAATAAAAAAGACTGAATATTATTGCCATTCATGAGGAAAGTACCCCGCTACAAATATCTGATTATGTAGGTAGAGCAAAAGCTCTTGGAATTCCACTGAAAGAATTTGTATTATTTTATAATCTTTCCGATCTAAACCCGGACTCGACTCCGTTCTAACGTTAGCAATAGCTATTTGAAGTTCACTTATAGTAAAAGGCAGATCCAGGAATGGATCCCCTTCCTCATTACTAAGATCCGGAGCATCTTCTTTCACCCATGCTGGATACAATAAGTTAATTGCAGATTTTACTTCTTCAATTCGCTCTACACTGTATTCATTTAAACACCCTGATTTGCTCCAACTCTTCCTCAAATCTCTTAATTTCCTCCAGATACACGTCGGGCTAGTAAACTTGTCTAAACTTGCGCAAAAATTCCGAATGTACGCTTTTTTAATTGACCTAATTACACTCTTAGCTTTGGCTTCAACCTGTCTATATAACTGAAAATTTTTGACAGAAGGAAACTCTATGAGTCGATAAAGTACAGCCCTTCTTACTCTCACCAACCGTTAACATACTTTATTCCAAAAGAGTGCTGTACGACTTTTACCTGAGTTCTTAGAAACTTTTCCTCTTCCTATATTAACCGTTGCCTATTTAAACTCTTGCCAGGAGAATGACTAGAAACACAGTCACTAATAATAGCTACAAGTGTTGAATACTTTACTTGGATATCTCATCTGTCATCATTAATAACGTCTCTAGCTTCCTCACTCCAAGCTTGTAAAGATTCAATTACTTTTATCGATTCAATCCTAACACCGTGCAATCTAAACGAAGAGCGAAACTGTAGTTTTGAGTTACCATCTTTGTTCAATTTAATACAAATTGGATAGTGATCACTCCCCCATGAGTCTTTGTTAATTTGCCACTCACATACAGAGAGTAGTGCACAATTAACGAAAGCAATATCTATAGCCGATTCCGCATTGAACTGCCTAGTTCTGAAGGTCATAGACCCACCGTTAAGAGTACCCGCACCTACCTGTTCAACAGCACTAGAAACTTTATTACCTTCTGTGCATGAAAGACTTCCACTCCAAAACGCATGATAAGCATTGATATCTCCAGCAATCGAAAAATTTCTTCCAAACTGGTTTATGAAGCGCACCCATTGTTTCTCTGTCAAGCTCTTATTCGGCGGTCTATAAAAAAAACCAATTAGCATTTCTTCTCCATTAATATAGATATTGTAAAATAAGACCAAATAACAACTTCAGAAAAAAAATTAATAAAGAAAATGTTTATTAAGGATTGACAGCAAATGATTAAAACGAAAGAATCCGTGCGGTCAACTCAAGTCTTAGTCAAAAACTGGAGATAAACGAACTCTCCCCTTGTTGCTATAAACAATCTAATCGTCAAGCAATCGTCGTTAACTAACAAACTGTCGTTAGTCTAGTAGTCATTAGATGGCGACATACAACAATTTTACACTTCTCCTGATCTTCTAAAAAATTGCCACCCTCTAACAGTTGGGTGAAAATATTAGATTAGGCTAAAAAAAAGAAACATTCCAAATCTTAAATTAATAAATTGGAATTAAACATTTATAATGTCAACTGAAAATAAGCAAATAAATCAAATAATTCTTCAGCCTAGTTTCCAATATTGCCGATTCTCAACTCTGCCTGCTTGAAAATAAATTGAACGAATTATTCTGGCAGGAAAAATCCTGCGGCGAATAAAAACCTCCAAAACAGGTCAAAATAATCTTAATTAAACTAAAAACATGATTCTATACAATAAAAGATTCCTTAAAAAATAATCGTCCGTTAGTCAGATTGAAAATTTAAAAAAATCTAAATTGATTCTTCAATTCCCTTTCTTCTTTCCCATCACGAAGAACCACTGGGAAGAACCGAAAGAACCCAAAGAGTAGGAAATGCCAAGAACTGGAAGTTCATAGAACTAAACAAAATAAAATTTCCTTACAGAAGCAAAGTTCTTTAAAAAAATTTCATGATTTTATCGTACATTCAATGTTCAATTAATAATTAGGTTGAATGGTCACATTTCATGGAGTCAATTCTCCAAATGAATTCCGACTTCGCATCCTTTTTTTAAATAAAAATTCGGCTCTCAAATAAATGATTTAATATCATGAAAACAATCAATTCAATTCCACCTTGCGCAAGGAATTTTCAAAAATAAGTTCAATAGCTCCTGCTTACTGTGCTAACTAAATTATTAAAAATTGGACTCACAGTTACGCATACTATCCGAACAAAAATATTAGGATACCATGGACATCTAGTACCTCAATTTGCTTCACTTTGGCCAATAAATGAAGAAAAGGATTCCGGTACAATGACTCCAACCGTGTATATCCTACAGTAACTTCACGAGAACGCTCCAGGACAGACATTGTGAATTTAAATCAACAATCAAATGATCAATGAAAGCCAACGTTCTCAGACTTGAAGTTACAAAAACCCTGAATTCAACAGAAATTAGGAATCCAGAAAGAGTCAACAATTTATTATCATCATACGGAACGAATTCAATCACTTGAAAACGACCATTCAAGATTTTCAGAAATTCGAAGCACAGCATCTTTAAGTACATTTCAGATGCATAAAGACCATCGAAAAAAAAACTTTAGGCGATTTCCTTCACTTACTAAAAAAATCGAATTCAATCTCTGAATTCAATCTAAAAGAATTTGGAGTCAAGTCTAATTATTTTCTGTTAAACTTGATTTAACAGCCCAGGAATCTTACAATTCTTCTTAGAATGACCTTCTATTCCACAAACCCAACATCTAAATCCATGAAAAGAATTTTGATTATTAAAAGATTTTAAATTGCCTTCAGCAGAATCGGAATGATTATTATTATCATTATAAATTTTATCTTTTTCAAAATCATTGTTAAAATTGTCTATATTCTGACCTCCAAAAGTCAAATCTTTAATCGACTCAAGCTGTAAAGCTCCCTGAGTTGCTAATTGAAGAGACTTAATTTTCTCCGAACAAAGAGATAATTGTAACTTCAATTTTTTTAACCCAAAAATGAATTGCAAACCAGCATTTCTATCTCTCTCCTCGAAAGAGACTGAAGGATACGCAAATTTGACGAGCCTATCCAAATCATTTGAAAAGTTTGTTAAATTTTCATTTTCAGACTGTTTTCTAGCCTGTAAACGACTAAAATAAGCTCTAGAAAATTGAGATTCACCAAAACGATCGTCCAAAATTTTCTTCAATTTTTCAAAATTCCCCAAATCTTCTAAACTCAAATTTTCTAAAATAACTTGAGCTTTGTCCTTCAAACAGAACACTGAAATCGATGCTTCAACTTTATTTGTCCATTTATGCAGACGAGCGACTGTCTCAAATTGACGGGAATAAGATTCCCACGTCTGAGAACCATCAAATGTTCCCGGTTTTGCGAAAGCTAAAGAACTATTATTAATCGAAGAAGTTGAGACCGATTCAACCAAATTATTAGATTTATTTTTCACTTGAAGAAAAATTCTGAATAAGATTAATGCTATCAAAGGTTTTTTAATATTCGGCTTAAACATTTGATCTACAATTTCTTACGCAAACTTATTCGATTTTGTTATTCAACAATTGATGAAAACAATTTTATGGTTTTGCGATTATGGCAAGTCAAACTTGGCGTAATTTTATGATTTCAAACATTTTTTGCATGTAGATCAATTCAAAAATATCGGATTTTCAAACAGTGACGTGGCGCCATTTTTTTCACCGATATCGAACGAAATCTGTTTTTGGCGGGTTTCACTTACTTTTTTCTGGGAATTGCCTGGGTAACTCAACTTTACACAAAAGATCAATAGATAACAATAAATATTTTCCGAAATTTATTTTCTTTCGTCGGTAACTTTAGTTTAATTAAAGCTCGTATTTACGGTAAAACAATTCAAATTTTTCGTGATGATCTCGAGTTCGATTATTTATTACAAATTCTATTAGTATAGAATATAGACGTTTGTTTAAATTTATTTTTTATGTTTAGCAATCATTACAGCAAGGCAAGTTGATTTGAGATAAGTTGAACGAAGTCAAAGTGATACCAATCTTTCCACACTGCAAATCCAAATGTGTTATTATTATAGACATTTTTAACACGCTAAGCCTCTTCACTGTTAAATACCGTAAAAAAACTATAGATTTTTCACACACTATGAAATGTGTAAAAAGTGTCTACAAATAATGTATAGTTGGTTTATTTCATGGGGCATCCAATATAAATTGATAGGTAAACTGTAAATTTTGTAGTTAAAAATAATATTATTACTTCTTTAAAGAGTAAAATATTCAAATTGACCAAGAAAAAATTTAATTCGTAAAAAATTAAAAGTAACATGGTAAACTGTAAAAATTGAGATTTGTATAAAATGATAAATCAGTTACAAATTGTGTTTATTACTAAAATTAGATAAGTAGATTTTAAAATTGTCAGTTGTTCAATTTATAATACAAAGAATTATTATTTATTACTGGATGCCCTGTATTTTTTAAAGTCTACGGGTTGTTTCAATTGATATAGCAACTCTGACAATGTCATATATTTTAGATCAAAGTTTTCAGTGTTATGTTGTAATCTGAATATACCAATTCAATTTTGTATTTTTATGAGATAATCTGTGAATTTATATTAGTCTTAAATAAAATTTACAGTTTCACTACTGTAATTTTTACTTTTATATTTCGTATGTGTCACTCAAAGTTTTATCAATTTCTTACTGACAGTTTTCTATTGCATATTTCTTAGAATTAATATTGGAGTAAGGAATCAAAAAGTGTGTAGTAATTGCCTAGCACGTGAAAAGTACTGTCTAACAAACAAATGCTACAGTTTGAAAAGTAAATAAACCAGCAACTTGTAATGTGTATTTCTTAGAATTAATTTTAATGTAAGAAAACAAAGAGGTGTAGTCGGACTAGTGCGTGAAAAGTACTGTTTATCGAGTAAATTTTACAGTTTGGAACGTAAATGAATTAGTTATTTCAAAGCCGCGCTGATTTTATTCATTATAATTGGTTCATCATCGAGACTTTACTGCTCTTTGTGCAAGTTTCATCAAGTTTATTTGAGCCAGTATCGTGACAACACTGTGTGCTATTCTACTCATTCACGAACAAGGTAAGTTACTTAATAATATATTTTACTGTCTTATATATGACAACAAACCCTTTTTTTCACTAATAAATTATTCACAGATTTGTGGGGTTTCATATTAAATTTTTTGTTTGACACAAGTATGTTAGGTATGAGTGAGATGGACAATATTTATTTCACGTATATGACTTTGTCAAGCAATCGTGCGGTACCGGTAGTTTCAAACAATGTCGGGGGTAATAGCGTGTTAGGAATGAATCCAAGTGTATGTTTTTTTATCATTTATACTATTTTTCAACTATTAATTATTGCAAACAATTTTTCTTGTTCTTAGTAAATTTTTTATCCTCATTTGTATGTGTGTACTAATTTGTAAGATTCAACTCTTATTATGACTAAACATATAAATGAATACTAAAATATTTCCATACACGTGCAATGAGCATTACATTTTTACTTTTTCCATTATTTGCTACAGTTTCCAAGTGACAATAATCTTATAACTAACTGGACTTTCGAATAATTCAAATTTAGTAGATCTTACTCATACTACAGAAACTGACAGGGAACCGAGTCACATTTTCCATCCAACACAATTTTCTTAACAAGATTCCACAAAAATAATGTTGATTTATTTTATGATTTTTTTTACAATCATTTTTTTTACAACTAACTAATTTATCAACAACAGACGCCTGCGCTTTTAGAATGGTTAAGTAAATCTCAAAATGGTCTGTCTGTAATAGAGTATTATAACGAACCAAAGTTATTAATACCTAATTTACGAAATATATTAACACGAGAAATATTACGCCGAGAACATAATTGTAAACCAGAGTGTACCACACTGCCAGCAAGTCGTTTTATAGAATTGGCTTAAGAAATTTGTCAATTATTTTCAAGTGAAACTCCAGCTATTTATTACACGCCTCACAAAGCCTTGGATTCGGGAGAAGCAGTCAAGGCTTATGGGAAGTTGCAGTTTCATAATGATTATTTAATTCGTGAGCGGAATATTAGAAAAGGAAAACTAAAGCTTCTAGCTCGAAGTGCTGATGAAGGTATGCAAACTCATATTGTATTTATTGATAATACTCCAATTATGCTTACAAGTTTTTTTTTCATATTTACAAAGAAATTCATTTTCTCTTTGTTTTCTAGATGAAGAGAATATACCAATTTCGAATAAAGAAAGTGAAAATTTGGAATTTTTAAAGAAATACATTGAACCGTGGGATCATGTTGGAAAACTTTGGAAGCTAACGTTCCATGAAAGACAAACTTTATTTGTGACATTAACAATTGCAGAATATTATTATCTTTTTCCTTGTTTGAAACAAGAAAAAGGATATTTGTTGGTAAACATCTGGTCTATATTTATTTCTTGTGTTAAAATGTTTTCATTTATCTTCAGTTCTACAAATAGTTTACAAAATGACTAAATAATTCCTTTTTCATCTTTTACTATAAAGATTAAATGAATAAATAGTTGCGTTTTAATACGAATATTTAAACTTATATTTTGAAATTTAATCCACAATTAGAATTGGATTTTGATGTAAAATATCCTAAAAAGAAAAACGCTTTTTCAACTAAGTGGCCAAAAGTACGAGATCAACTTGTGAAGTTATTTCGAAGTCACAGACAAACCATAGATTTATGTTTTGCAGCAGAAGCAAAAAAACTGCATTAACTTAGTGAAGGTTTGTTTAATTAAAAAATCTATATTAATGCAAGATAATATTGCAAAATATAAGAATACATACAAATATTTGACAATATTATTTCTTTATTGTGAATATGACATATATCTCTATTATTGTAATTTCAAAAAAATATTCTTTCAGACGCTTTAGATTCAGTGGCGCTGATACTACTCTCAAATGCGTTTCCTGAACCATCATTCTTATTCAAAAATACTGGCTCTAAGAATAAAAAAAGAAGTAAAAAGTTAAAAACTACAAATTCTTCGACAGAAGCGAATGAAGTACTTAAAAAATGAAATCCGTCTAAAGCAGAATCACGTGGAGGCTTCATTCTTCATGTGAATGTATGTATCTCATGCTCATATGTTTCTTAATCATTACAGAATAGTTATTATAAATAATTTTTTTTTTGTCATTTCGTGATTATCTTTAAATGACTAAAATCAGAAATTTTCTGTATTCGAGTTTATGTCTATTGTATTTACAGAATCAACATTCTGTAATTATAAAATTTCTTTTTTCAATTTTTGTAGGCAGAAAATGATGCACTCCCGAGCATTAGTCGTCTCTCAAATACACTAGCGACATATGAATTACAATTACAACCTAGATCCATCATTTCTGGAGCTATTGATGATGTCATTGCTGCCCATATTTTTGTGAATAAAACGCAATACGATTTGGAATCAACAATTCGAGCAGTTGCGGTTTGCTTTAAAATATATTTCGTTTTACACGCATTTTATCCACCTGAAGCCAAATCAGCTTGGCTGTTTATACAAAAAGCAGTATTTGATTTGAAATCATTACATGATGGTAAAATTCCGACTGCAGTATCGGAATTTTTGGATGAGATCAATGTAAACCTCAATTAAAATTTATTTAGTTTTTCAAAATTTTGCCAAGTTCTAATTATTTTAACTGGAGAAAAGACTATTTTTTTTTCTTTCAAAGCGAGTGCGAATTTAAACTCCAGTTGATGATATTCGTATAGTTCATTATGTTTAGTTTTGTAATATTTCATCATTTTTATGAGCAGATTTTAATATTGCTATTGTGATAAGAATTCTAGAATTTCATTAATAATGTCATTTATCTGTAAGTGTTTAAAAACTTTCAATATTGGTGTTGCTTTCACTAAGCATTGTCATAACGAGCATACACAAGACTATTCAGCAAATTGTTTTCAATGCTTAGGTGCTTGTAGTCGTAAATATGATAAGTTAGATGTATTTCGAAAGCATTTGTGAAAAAATCATCAATTTCAATGTCATTCTACTAATTTACTCACAGTAAGTAATGAAAATAATGCTGACCTTGAAATCAACATCAAAACAGAAAACAATATAAATGTTAATGACAAAGTATTTCCGAGTAATACAGCTAAATTTCCATATATGTCAAATATTTAAAATGATGTCAATTCTAATTATAAAAAATATTCTAAGAACGTTGAACAATTATCATTAATCCAAAATCAAGTATCACAAGTCGATGCTAGATTAGCTATTACGAATTATGTTTATCAATTAGCTGCTAAATGGTACTCTGATAATAATTTATCTCGAAAAAACATTCAATCAAATATTGAGGATGTTGGAAATTTCTTTATTGATGCTACTAATATTTTATCTGATACTGTAATAAGTTTATTTAGTAAGAACAATATTCCTATTTCAATTCAAACAGATGTACAAAAAATATTTTCTGATATTCAGAAACCATTTAATAATGCAGTTAGTGAGTACATAAGCTTGAAAAAATTTCGTGAATCTGGAAATTTAATAGCTCCAGAAAATGTTCTTCTTGGCACTATTTCTGGGTCTAGAATGATCAATGGATAATCACAAATAATTGCTGAAGAAGTATTTGTTCAATTTATTTCGATAAGACATGTTTTACGTATTTTTTACGAACTGCCTAATGTTTTTAAAAAAACCCTTCTTTACATGAAATATGTTAACTCCAGTTCTAATGGTATATGTAATTTTATTCAATATAGTTTGTGAAAAAAAGTTATTTCTGAGTATGATTCGAAAATTGTTTTCCCTTTATTTATTTATTTTGATGAATATAAGAGCAACAATTGTTTAAGTAGCCATGCAGGGGATGATGGAAAAATTGAGGCATTATACCTTCAAATTTCTTGTTTGCCTCCTGAATTTTTAAGTAAGCATAAAAAAAATTTCTTTATTTCAATTATTTAATTCATTACATAGAAGAATTTTTGGAAATTTGCGAACATTTCAAAGGGTGATTGATGAATTGAATTTTTTGTCAAAAAAAGGAATTGTAATTAAGGCTACTGAAGGAACGTATCATATTTATTTTGTATTGGGATTAGTTCTTAGAGATAATTTGGGACTAAATTCATTATTAGGATTTGTTGAATCGTTTCAAGCTCACTGTTGATGCAGGTTTTGTTTAATGAATAAAAATGACGCTAATACAGCAATTACAGAATTATCTAATCTTGTCCGAAATACAAAACATTATGATGATATTATTTCAAATTTGCAATCCTATAATACATTAAATAAATATGGTATAAAGGAAACGTGTGTTTGAAATAATGTATATCAATTTCATGTCACTCAAAATTTTAGTGTCGACGCGATGCATGACTTATTAGAGGGCATGTGTAAATACGAGTTAGCAGACATACTGTTTCATTTATTCATAAAGGAGAAATTATTTCAGAAGATACTGTTAATGATAGAATAAGTTCTTTTCAATTTGGGCGAAATAAATGAAAAAATGAACCTCCTGAATTATCACCTGACCATATTAAACAATTGAATTTGAAATTAACATCATCAGAAGTTCTTTGTTTTATGAGACATTTCATAAGAAATAATACATAAGAAAATATATCATTCAGTTTTTTGAAAATTACTTTGGCTGCACCAGAAAATTTAGTGCTCCACAGCACCTGAAAATTTAGTAACGTTAGCTGTGATAACTACGTTACCGACAAACAATTTTATTTAAGTGTAGTAATAATTTTTTTGGTTATATAAACAAATAAATAAATAAATTATGTTCATTGATAATTAACTTTCTTAACTAATTCATTCGTTGGAATGAATATGGCACGTTTTACAATATTGACCCCCCCCTCCTCCCTATCCCTACGATCGGGATCTTACGCAGAAAAAACCTTTGTCGTCGATACAACCACCCGGATCTTCGAAGAGATCTTCCTTCCGCTCACGGTGACTCGAGAAAAATCATATAAATGACTTTTGTCTCGACCGGGACTCGAACCCGCGACCCATCGTGCGTCAAGCTGACGCTTACCTTTGAATCCACCGCGTTAATCCGTTTAAGTTTATAATAAATTGTAATGATATAACGTGTTGCCGCCAATATTAAATCGTAACGAAAAATATGAATGTCATCTTTGTTTACAATATTGAAAAAAGTAACTATAGCACTGAGGGTGTTCACACAATCAAAAACAAAAGCCGTAAGGTGTACGCATGCGTGCAAACCAATTTTTAACTTATTGTAATGTTAGTATGCCCGCGTACGTTTTAAATTGTACGTTTTACGTCTTATGTTTTTAATTGTGTGAACGGTCTTACAATACAAAGAAAGATTGTGTTGGACCGATAATTCGAAGATTTCCGACCCAGCACAGAAACTCTCGAGAATAGAAAAATTCATAGGAGAGCACCTGAATTTTTCCTACCACACGGTTCATAATAAATTATATACAGATTCTCATTTTTTTCTAGTCACTTACTAATTATTGTTTAAAGTTTGAATAAAAAATAATATTTATCGAATATTACCGTGCTGCATAAGAATTCTTACTTTTTCTTTTCTTAATAAATATTGAATCTATAATGAAATTTTAAAAGGATTACTAATTTTTCTTTGAAGGTTGTCTTAATTTTTTAGGGAATCGACATTTGCGCGTGGATTGTTGTGCTGAGCACGGTAATTTTTATGGGAATTTTTTCTCCGTGTACTACATTGAATGAAATTTCGAGTATTTTGTTATCAAAAGTATATCACATTGATTGTCCGGACTTACTAAATACGCTTATTTCTGAACATTTAGAATTGTATCAAAAGATTTTCAAAAAACCATTGAAACCAAAGCATCACATTCTTTTGCATTATCCTAGAATTATGAAGATAGCTGGTCCAGTTGTTCATTTCTGGTCTATGCGATTTGAGAGTAAACATAGAGAATCAAAGGTAGCTGCCAGATCCACAGTTTCACGAAAAAACTTGCCTTACACGTTAGCACTCAAACATCAATTGAAGCTAAATCATAAATTAAGTACGACCCGAGTAGACGCTGGCCTGATGTTTCATAAGCTCCTGATGAGGTTTTTCTGAGGTCAGCCTTAATAGGTTTGGCTTTCTGAGGTCATGAACAGGACCACATGTTTTTTTTCATTAAATTATAAACCTAAATTTACCCAATCATTACCTGATGAGGTAGTTTTAGATTTACCGAGTCAGGGTACAAGATTCATCGGTTCCTGGTTAGGCCCTCATCTAACTTTCATTACTTACGAATAATTTATCGATATTATTTCGAATGAAAATATATTCTCACAATACTTATTATTGATTATTGATTGCAATTAACAATTGTAATAAATATCTCTTAGTTCAATTGTGAACATTACATGATTGTATTATTTAATTGCATCAAAAAAGAAAATTAATTCATAATTTTTTATAGTTAATTATAGTTGCTTAAATATTGTTATTATTAATTATAGTTTATAAACGAAATAATTAGTTAAAAAAAATCAATAAATAATTTTCTTCTACTGATGTTATTAAAAATTATAAAAAGTAACTTTTAACAGACTCATAAATGGTTATTCTATAATAATTAATTATTTATTTTTAAACATATGTTTAATATATTTTAAATGTTGCGCCTTTACAAATCATCTGACATACAAGGAATACATGTGAGATGGCGCTACTACCGTCGTCAACATGCGTGCGCATTAGCTGTTGACATCTCCAATCCAAGTACTGTGCAAACGAGGTTATATTATTTTTAATAAAAATACAATATGAGTGAGAATATTAATATCACACCAAAAACAGCCCTAACGGACTTCACAAAAATACGCGCCAAGTATGAATAACGAAGACGATAATCATCGTTCATCAAGTGCGATTTCTATAAAACTTCTTTATGCGACAACTACAAAAATGCATGAAATCATTGCAGCCAAGTATTTAAACATAAAGATTAATGATATTCAATAAAATAAAATAGAAATGTTTTTTTAATTTTCGTTAAATTATTATGTAATTTTCTACATAAATCAAAGACAAACTCTCTATAATAAGATAAAAAAAACATTCAATACATGAAGATAGTTGACAGCCTTATGACGTTTTAAAATTTTGAAAAAAGAAGAAAAAAATTGAATTAAAAAAAAATTTCTCTTTTTTTATAAAAATTTATTTAAACACAATTAACTTGGCGTGGCTCTTACAGCTGTAGATAAAACGATAATTGATTAGATGGTTCATATAATTGATAGCCACGCCAAGTTAATTGTGTTTAAATAAATTTTTATAAAAAAAGAGAAATTTTTTTTCAATTCAATTTTTTTCTTCTTTTTTCAAAATTTTAAAACGTCATAAGGCTGTCAACTATCTTCATGTATTGAATGTTTTTTTTATCTTATTATAAAGAGTTTGTCTTTGATTTATGTAGAAAATTACATAATAATTTAACGAAAATTAAAAAAACATTTCTATTTTATTTTATTGAATATCATTAATCTTTATGTTTAAATACTTGGCTGCAATGATTTCATGCATTTTTGTAGTTGTCGCATAAAGAAGTTTTATAGAAATCGCACTTGATGAACGATGATTATCGTCTTCGTTATTCATACTTGGCGCGTATTTTTGTGAAGTCCGTTAGGGCTGTTTTTGGTGTGATTTCACGATTTTTTGTACAACAAACGGAATATGTATCATTCGACTCCGTTACTACGACATGGAATTTTAGAACAGACATCACTATCTGTGTATAGATAGTACAGTACCAGACATAAATGCTGTTCAATTTTGTAAGGGTTCTACAAGCGATTTTCCTATACCGTCCTATAGAAAATCACACAGCATTTATGTCCGGTACTGTATAATAGTCTTCAGTCTGGTAGTATTTAACTATCAACTCAATAAAAAAAAAATTGTTATCTCTTACCGATCTTAAGAGATAAACAAAATTATTGATTGAAGGACATGAATTAGTTTTCAAAAAACGTAAAACGATTTTTTTTAAAACGTAAAACCATCGGTTATACATTCTATGTATTACCTATCAACTTAAAATGTACATAAATATTTGTCGTTTTCGATACCGAAAAACTCGGTCGGCATAATACGGACACGGCATAATGACAGCGCGGAATGTACGATCGATCGTCGTGCATAACATCCACGCAGGTTCAGAATTAGAAGCGGCACCTTAAATTTTCCGGCATATTAGATTTTTGCGCCTTTTCTGATTTTAACTTATGAAATCTAAAAAGTAATAAGTGAGGAGATGTAAGTAAAATAATTAGTGCAATAATTCATATGAACACATAAATTTTAAATTCTATTCTTTAAATTTTTCCTCCTCTCTTTTTCTTCAATTTAGTAGGATACAATTTCTCTTCTATTGCATTCCCACCATCAACTTTTTTCATGAGAATTTCCTACAAATAAAAGAAAAGAAATACTTATTATGTTCAATTTTTAATTATTGTGATGAAATGCAAAAAATAGATTAGCTACCTTACTTATCATTTATGAGTCACTTAATTTTTCGTTAAACATTATAAAATAAATAACAATCTCTAGACTTTGTACACTTTGGTTTTCTTTAGGGGGAAATTGACCGTTCAGAATGAAGTCGTAAGTAGACAGAAGATTCATGCTGCATTCACATGAGAGTGAATCAAAAGTCAACAGAATAAC